CTGCTGTGGAAGATCTAATGAATCAATTTCTCTGCATCAAATGCCAAAAAATTTAAAGCCACTTTTATTTCACGATGCTAAAAACATAAACTTACTATTTATTGGGGAGTGCCCCATATCTGGTGAATTCCAATGTTTCTGTTGTGCTGTTGTAATGTCTTTGTGTTGTTCACTACAGTAAATTACCTCTGTCAACAGCTCAGAAACTAGGCTGTCAAATGCCACGGACAAAATGTTGCAAATTGATAAAAGTTTGAAATATCGTATACCATATCAGAAATTTGCATCCATTTTTTCTTCAAAATACCTACATTGCATGATAAAATAGGTGTTATCTGCAGTAGTTGACAGCTGTGCTCTGTTTAGTTTCTCAGGAGACAGGGACAACCTGCATCCCTCTTTTTTGGGTGGGGTGGAGTGGGGGGTGGCAGTAGTGAGTCATTTTTCGTACAGTACAGACACATCGTGGAGTAGTCAGTATCCTCAGCTCTGCTCTCTCTGAGGCCGCCCAGGCTGAGACGAGCCATCCTGTTGTATTTTTCCTCTTTTGTGTTGGTGCTTTAATACAACAGCGGCCTGTCACTGAGGAATTCGAGGCTGTGGAGCTGTGACTCTCTTCTTTACACATTTGCATGTTTTTTTTTTTTTTTTTTTTTTGAAGGCGCTGAAGTGAGAAGGTCTGTCTCATCTTAATGCCCCCTCCCTTACTCTCCTTCTCGTGCCAAGTGTTTAATTAAACTTTTTGTTGTCGTGAGCACAGCAGGTTGGACTTAAGCCTGATGCTGTGTGGCGGGGGTCGGGGGTTGGGGGTATGGGAGTGTGTGTGTGGGAGTGGGGGTGAGTGAGGTATTTGTCTAGCTGCCACAGAGGCCTCCGCCAACCAGATAGGTGCTGGATAAGCTCTGCTCCCAAAAGTGGGGGTAGAAGTTTACGGGATTGGGGGGTGGGAACTAATCCTGGATTGGACTTCAGACAAAACAAACCTGTCAGTGGTGTTGAGTTTATGGTTTTTATTGAACATGCAGTTTTCATCCTTCACCTTTAACTCAAAAGAAAGAATTAAAAAATCACTTCCTAAGTTTTTTTGTTTTAACGTATCAGCTGCATACTGTATTATATCACTTGTAAGTATTGTATTGCAATCACAATTTTAGACTGTTAGTAAACAGTTACATTTTGGTCCTGGTTGGTTCTCTTTGTGTAATTATGTTGTGTCCATACCAAATAGTAATACCGTATTTTTCGGGCAATAAGGGGCACCGGGTTATACGGCGCACTGTGAATTAACGTGTCTATGTTCACACATTAGGCGCACCGGATGTAAGGCGCATCAAGCATTGATTGGTTGATTGTTGCTAGCGCATAGTCTGTGCCCTGATAACCTTACATGACTGCACCTCTAGTTTAGACATTACAGTCAGGCAGTCTCGTAGACTGCTCAGGGGTCCTGTTACAGGGCCATTCAGGTAGTGATACAGCGTACCACAATGCTCTGAATATCCATTGAGCGTAGCATTAAGTCGTACTTACACATTTCGACAGATTTTCGAGTGCAATGTACCATATGAAATCGTTCAGTAAGCACAACAAGTAATCAAACATAAGGAGCGTTGGATTACAAGGCGCACTGTCAGCTTTTGAGAAAATTTAAGTATTTTAAGTGCACCTTACAGTCTGAAAATACGGTAAATCATTCACTTGCATAATTCAAGCTTATCTGGACATGCTAAGAACGACTTGCTCAATTTGCATGTTACATCACATCTGCAGTTAACTCAAACACGCGTTTGATTGCAAGAGAGGAGAGAAAGAGAGGAGGGGTTTAGACCTTCAGGTCAGTCTGTCTACATAGAACATGGTGAAGACTGATCATATTGTGAGGATCTGACGTGTTACATTTTTTGACAAGATAATCAGACCTCCTCATTCACTTCTATCAGTTGAGCTCTTTTTTTATGTTGGTCTTAGTACCACAAACAAGTTGTATCCCACAGTTGAGGTAGCTGCATACTATCACAATCACTTTATCCTTCATTTTCCACATGTATTAACCTCCACAAGTCTGTTGTTGACATACATCCATGCTGATTGGTTATCCTGGTGCAAACATTTGCACAAACAAACGATTTTTCAACTCCAGCGAATAAGCTAGTGTGACCATATGTCCTTTTTTGGGGCTTTGTCCAGGGAAGTTGATAAAATCCTTCAAATGTCTGTGGTTTTGTACGTAAGTTTAAGGTTTTTGTCACGTGTCCTCTTTTTCCAAAGTCAGAATATGTTCACCCTAGAATAAGTGTTTAAAGCAGATGGGTGTTGAACATAATGCCAACCGGAGTCAGTCATGCATATATGCTCAATTCACTCAAGTCTTAATGTGCGCAAATATTCCTCTCAATTCGCATTTCCAGAACACACATCAAATTGTGTCTTTACATCGACTGTAATTCACTCAAATGAATTTTTTACTACACTCGGTGTGAACACACAATCAGACAAAGCCTAGCTGGACGTCAAGTAATCTCAGATCCAACAGCACAGCTGCCTGACCTATCGATTTCTTCCACCAAATAAAAACAGTCAGTATATTTACATAGTTTTCAAAAAAGGAGAGATTATATATATTCTTTAATTCAAGTGTTAAAGCGGTGAACAGATTTCTGTCATCTAATTATGTCTGTGAGGCACATTGAATTACTACTGAATGTAAAATAACTGATTTAATATTGCATGTACACTTGTTTTTGCTCCCATTTTTCATGAGATGAACTCAAAGATCTAAGACTTTTCTATGTACATCCTCCAATACAGTAAACTTGCACATTATAGAGTGGCCTTTTATTGTGGCCGGTCTAAGGCACACCTGTGCAATAATCATGCTGTCTAATCAGCATCTTAATATGCCACACCTGTGCAATAATCATGCTGTCTAATCAGCATCTTGATATGCCACACCTGTGAGGTAGATGGATTATCTCAGCAAAGGAGAAGTGCTCACTAACACAGATTTAGACAAATCTGTCAACAATATTTGATAGAAATAGGCCTTATGTGTACATTAAGTCTTAGATCTTTGAGTTTCACTCATGAAAAATGAGAGCAAAAATGAAAGTGTTGTGTCTATATTTTTGTTAAGTGTAAGTTTCATCTAGTGGGCTTCTTCTTCTGCTGCTTCCATGCAAACCTAGAAATTTTAGCTTCTGTCGAACAGAGTAGAACTGTCTGTTGTGCAAATACCTTATGGTGAAAGAATGTCTGGAAGAGAAAGGCAAAACTAAAGGGCTTACAAAATGCTGCTCGAGGCAGATCTTCATTCATTCCAACTTTCTGTGCACTCATGGCCCCATGGCATACATCATGTGCTCTTTTTTAGCAGAGTATGCCACTGTTTACAAGTACATATTTATCAAAAAAATTAACCTTTTTTTTACTAAACTCTGCAGTAGTTAATTTATAGCTAGTTATGAAACAGGGTCAGTTTAAAACTGATACCTCTACATAACCTAATAAGAGCAGGGTTTTTAAGTAACAAAAGGGTCGTTATGTTCGCTGCAGGAAGTTTAGACCCACTGTTAAAATGTTAAAAAGCATTTAAACTGCAATGTTTGTCCCGCAAATCTAATAACATAATTAGCTTTCTTACGAGCATTACAATCCACTGTGTGTATTTTTCATAAAGTTAAAGTATCAGAACTTATCTCACTGTGTACTTGTCATATTAGAAATAAATGATGACAGGATATAATAGTTTTGATAAGACAATAATCCCCTGCAGTCTTCCCTAAACTACAAATCACTTCTACAGTATGGAGTTGATATGGACATGCATTTAATACACAGTATGTCAGGCAACCCCATTATAAACCACATTAATGTCTGCTTAGTCTTTGGTAGATTGAAGGAATCTTTGCCATTTCTAGTTTCTTTGTACTTTAACAAACATGATCCAGAAATGCAGGCAATTTGAGATAGACCGAGGTGAAATAGGAATACTTTTTCTGTGGTATGACGAATCAAAACTTGACAACTTTTTTGGAAATCATGGACGCCATGTCCTCTACTCTGTAGAGGGGAGAGACCACCCAGTTTGTTATCAGTGCACAGTTTAAAAGCCAGCATCCTTTATGGTGTGGGAATACATACGTGCCCATGGCGGCTTAAATGCTGATTATGACAAGAATGGGACATAACTCACAAATAATTCAGATGGTTGTTAAAAGAGGAGGTGATGTAACACGAAGGTTAACATGTCCCCATCGCAACTGTTGCTGGTATCAATAAAATTTTTCAGTTTCAGCCGATGACGTTATTTTTGCTCTATTTTTGATTAAAATATAGTCTTTTAAATGATTTGCAAACCATAAAGTTCTGTGTCTATCAACACTGTACTCTGTGGCAGATGCATTCAGCAGTAGTGCCAACATAATTTTGTTCCTTGTGTTTTCATTTAACATTTTCTAAACTGCAGAAACAAGATAAAGTCGACCAAAAGGTGAGGTTCACTGACTAAAATAGCTGAGATGACAGCTCACATAGACCACCTGTCACACCCCAAATCATATTTGACTTGAATCTTTTATCAAATTAAATCTGATTAGATTAAAGCGTATTCATGTACTGACACCTCAACCTAAGGAATGAGCCTTTTTTTTAGACCCGCCTCTAAACATGTAAAGTTCTGTCATTTGGGATTATTCCTGCTGTTTGACATCTAATCTATAACAGTTTGGAGTCACCTCAGGGTTTGACGCTCTGTGAAAGACTGACACAATGTGAGTGAACAGTGGGTGATAAAGATACCTTCAGTAAAGCAGAGAGAGACTGAGTCCAGTCCAGTACTCCACCTCGTGTTTTCCTACCCTCACTCTCTGCTGGGGTGATTACTCCGCTTTACTTCGGCTTGGTCCCCAGAGAGGCTCTCTCTTACACACACTCATACACACTCCAAAACACATGCTCTCTCTCACACACACACACACACACTCAGGCTAAGAGTCCCAATGGTCAGACATGAAGGTGTTGGTGCTTCCTCATAGCGGATAAGTTTGAGCTGCGTGGATGGAGCGCTTTGTGCTGCTGCTGGATGGACTGACAGCATCAGTTTACTGTGAGTGGAAACCTCATCAGACAGTTTGAAGATGGAGTTTGGAAGAGTTTGGTCCAGACATCAGAGGACGCTGCTGCTCACCATGATGATGTTCAAACTGGGTAAGAGTGCGACATGTGCACGTAAACTTTTCAGACATAATATCAGAGGAGAAAGTTTTTATGGACTAGGATTTTACATGAGGAAGAAAAATATTAACAATTCAACCTAAAAGTGATGACTGTCTTAGGTATATGCGTGCCTGTGTGTGTGTGCAACCGTGCATGTTTACAATATGAGTAGGCATCATAAGTATGTATTTTAATGTGTTTTTTGAGCCAGGATAGGAAACTGTAAAAACAAAAAAATTTATACTTTTTGATTTTTAAATGATCAACAAAAAGATTCATAAAAAGATGCCCAATTTGCTTTCTTTTTGTAACTTTAGTGTCAGGTCTAGTTGGAGTGAGTACATCTCCCTGATTCCCATCAAGTAATGAACTAATTAAACAGGATCTAAGTACCTGTTGTCTGTACTGCACCAGTCCTGGGGTGTATGTGAGTGTGTGTTCGTTGTGGGTGTAAGTACAGGAGTCTTGGTCAACCCCTGTACCTTATGAATGAATCCTCGGTGACCCATTTTTCCCGCGACCTCTATTTGTGTGGAGTGTCTGTGGCTTTTTTAAACGAAGGCTGTGTGGAGGCAGGGATTGGCTGCGGGTGGCATTGTTAAAGATCACCATGGTTACATGCTGAGCGTCCGGCTGCGCTGCTGCACAGTTTTTTTGTCTTGGCTTTGAATGGCGAAGGGGGGGGTGATGGGTATTAAGAAGGAGCATGGCAAGAGACCTGGCACTTTGAGCCCTTAAAGACCGAGGAGCAAAACTTAAACAGGAGGTAGAGTGTGTGTGAGGAGAGAGATGACAGCTTTAAACAATATATATTCTGGAGAAAAGTTTAAGCAGGACAAGGATCGAGTCAGAAAGAGGTCCAATAAATGCAGACTGCTGGCAGTAGTGAGACATATGTGAACAACAGCAGCTCCTGAGAAAGCGGAAGCAGCCTATATAAAAAGCTGCCATGTCCAGATGATGCACACAGGAGATAAGTGAAGAGGCATCCAATGTGAAGCTGTGCCTGAATTTATTCAAGAAACAAACCAGACGGACCACAAATATGGCGGTTGATGGTGGTTTGAAGTTGGGCTATTGCAAACAGAAAAATTCTAATACTCACAATTAATCAAAGTTATTTGGTATAAGTCCATATTCACAATGTAAAATAATTCTTCAGTCTTGATTTAGGAAACAAAAAAATACAATTAAATCTACTGTATGATGTTTTCAACTTGTACTCTACACTGTAGCTACATTATGCTGACCTACACCATCATGGGCACCTTATACCTGTGCAATGCTGCAGACTCATGGCTCTACAATACTCCTCCTAAACGCTGGTTGGCAGTGTAATGTCTATACTCTTCATTTCACCAGTTTTTGGTCCTGGTATCTTCCAGTTTTGGTCGTGTAAAAGAAACCGCAGTAGTTTAATCCCAGCGTAATATGCTGAAGTTGAAGCTCTTACATTTAGAGCAACTGTTCAAACTGCAGTTATTGCAAAGAAGAAAAGACAAGAGACAGAATATACATCCCCTGAAGAGGAGGAAAGGGAGTGGCAGCAATACTGAAATTATCTGCTACCAACCAGAAAAATCACTTGTAGCTTGTTGTCTGTGTTGTTTTAATGCAAAATTTGACTTTAGGTGCACATCAGGCTTCTTTATAGACCTATGGAGTATGCTACAGTCTGGGTCCAACACAGGGACAACCTCAAAGTGCTACTTTTGCTGCTGATTTGCCCTCCACTTCATCGAGAGATTCAGACCTGACTCGACAGAATATGCAGCACAGCTCCTGGTACAGACTCTTGTAATATCATGCATTGACTACCGCAACTCCTTACTGGCAGGCCTCCTTGCATGCACAGTTAAACCTCTGCAAATGATCCAGAATGTAGCAGAACGTCTGGTCTTCAACCAGCCCAAGACTGCTCATGTCACTCCTCTGTTCAACTGACTTGAAAAGTTGGACAATCCTCACCAACCCCGACTTGATGACAACGTCATAATCCAAGATGGCAGCAACAGTAAATAGTAACAGTAAAAGTTCTTGTAATGTGTTATTTATTAGCACTTCTGTTTTGTTTTTGTGAAAGTAAATAAGGGGTATAAAAGACTGCATTATGCGTTGTCTAACAACCGCTGACAATGGCTAACAACAACTGACAATTGCCAACGACAGCTGACAATTGTTAACAATAGCTGACAGCGGGTGACAGTAGCGTCCATCTTGGTTTTCCGACTGGTTTTTCTTAACTGAAACGGCGTCAACTTGGGTGTAACGTAATTCCGAGCTCCGACATCGGACTTCCGAGGTAACTCAAATGCAGCATTAGGTCAAGTGGAACTAGAAAAAGGCTTTGTTATTAGGTGAAGCTGGTATGTTAGTCACTATAGCAACTACCTTTCCTGGTGTCAACAAACTTCAAGAACATCTAGGCAGAAACAAAGTCTCAACAAAAATCCAACCTCTTTTAATCTGTGAAAAACACCCTTCCAATAAAAAGAGGTTAACTTTGACTTTTCTCACGACTGCTCTCAAAACAGATTCCAAAGTAATTTATTCTTTTATGGATGAAACTACAGATGCAACAATTACAAACATCCGAAGTTCAAAAATGCAAAGAAAGAATCTCAAATATTTCAAGTTTTTCAACCGTAAGAACAGATGAAAAAGTGGTTAAATGTACAAAATACAAAACCTTTTTTCCAATGCAAACTTTTTCTTATGTTTGTTTTTATAGATTAGATCATTTCTGTTTAAAATAGAGGTCAAATAAAGTATAGAATTTGTTCAAATACTTTCTTACTCTGAGATAAGAGAGGAAACACATGGCTGATAGTCTTTCTGTTTTCTCTGGGCTTCTGTAAAGGTGGCTTTACCATGCCTTCAAAGAAGTCCAAATCATCAGACACTTGTTCCTGAAAGTGACGCAGCTTTCGCAGCGGCTCACACAGGAGACAAAAGGATGTGCGTCTGTGACTCAGTGTGTAACTGTGACTGATTCAGGGAGGATTTGTGCATTTTTTTGTATAAAGCCGAGCAGCCACCTGCCGAGGGGCCCATGGAGCACAAAGCTGAACCCGAGCGGAGCTGCCAGACTCTCGTGGTGATTCAATAAAATTCCTCAGAGCTCGACTTGTGAGTTAGCCAGGGGCTTCCCTTTCTGCTGTGATTCATTGCACTGCTGCCTGCTCTGCCCTGCAGAGGGGTCTCTGTAGCGGCTCTGTCAGGCTGTTTCCGTGAGTCGGAGCGAACACTTTGTCTCACTATCCTCCCTACCTCTCACACCTGCCAAGAGATAAAATATATCCTGTCTGGTTTAAGAGTCTTTATCTCATTGAGTCATTCGAAGATGTAATTGAATTACTTTTAAAAAAATGACCCTTTCACACAGAAAAGAATAAATTAATGGTATAAGAACTGTAAATATCCAGAGGTTAAACAGAATCTGAACTAAGTCCTTAAAGGGATAGTTCAGTTTTTTCCTGTGGGGTTGTTATATGTAACTTGACACTAGACAGGGAATCACAACGGAAGCTCATGGGATCAACTCCATCACATAACTAATTTAATTAACATCAACCAAAACACTAACGTCTGTAAATGTGTTTGTATGCACATTTAAGTTGAGCTACAGTTATAGCTCGGTTAGGAGACTACACTGGAGTACTGTCTTAGTCATAGTATACAAGTATCAGACAGTGTTTCCAACTCTTCAGTGAGGAAAGTCGCTAGAGGCTGTCGTAGAAGTCGTTGGATGACGTCATCGGCCAATTTGCATAATTTCTCAGTCAAACCCGCCTCACCAGCTACCCATTGAGAAGAGTAACATCTATACCTGCTTTCATGTCAGAGTCTCTAAACTCCACAAGAAGTCGCTAGTTTTGTCACTAAGTGCATTTTTAAAAATAATGCGCTAGGTGGGTCTGAAAAGTCGCTAAATCTAGCAACAGTCTTGCTAGGTTGGCAACACTGGTATCAGGCAAAAACTGATTTATTGAAGAAAAAATAAATCCTATGGCCCTGATGAGTAATACAATTGACAGCTAAGGTGGTAGTAATTGCAGGGTACCGCTGTGGATCTATGGTTAAAGCACATACACAGCTGCAACAGTGCGGTGGTCATGAGTTTGACTTGCAGCCACCTCTCTGTGATCACCTACCCTCTACCTCATACATTTACTGTGTGTCTTGTCTGTCTTAGCTGTCTTATCCAGTAGAGGCAAAAAACACTTAAAAAAATAAAATGTAACACAAGCTGAGCGACCATCACAGGAGCTCTACAGGATAAGCTAACAGTTGGGTTTTAATATGGGCTACCAAATGCAAATTATTTACAAACTAGAGTACATTATATTACTGTTGTAATGTACTGGACTTTATTGACGTGTCAGGGTTAACTTCACTCTCTTGGATTAAAGTCCTTTCTTGTTGAGTCATCAATCGTCCCCGAAAAGTTACCTTAATTGATAATAGTGCTCCTCAAACTTTTTCACTTGACCTTATCAGTAGCTACATGAAATGACAGGCCAGAGGGCAACATCTTAAAATAACTTAGAAATAATATAAATAATAGTAAAGAACCTACAGCGTCATATTTTATTTTCTGTAGATTGTAAGACAAAGCCATGAGTTTAATCTTTAAAAAATAGCTGAAACACTTTATAAAACAAGAATCTCAGAGGAATGAAACAACAGCTTCACACGTGACGTGACTCCCTGTTTCCCATCAGAATTATTTGTGAAGTTGTCTTTAAACTGAATCCTTTTGAAAAGGGCCTGTGAGGTCTCTGAAGAGCACCGTGGGTTTGATCCTGACACCCCCTCTACTTGGTAACAGTCATCATCTCTGCTCAGTGTTACTGCTGGTACCAGTCAGTGTCAGGGTGTCCACTCTTTCAGGCCATAACCGTGATCTATGGAGTGCTCTGAGATGAGTGGGGGGGTGTTTTTTAAGAAGAGGAGGGGCTGTTATCAGCTCCCTGGAATGTGTGAGGGCTTGATTGGCTCTAGATGGAGGGGTGAGGAGTGAGGAGACCCCCACAGCCTCTGCCTCATGGTTTAAGAGATTACATGTAGTGCTGGTTAACATGGTTCTGATTACTGGTCTTGGGTAAGATGTTAGTTGACTTAAATGAGAGAAGGCAAATGAAATAGAAAGAAAAAGTAAATGATGATCTCAGCTCATGTGAGAGGAAACAAAAGGGAGGAACATAAAGACATGATGTAATGACTGAGGCCATCATGACTGAGATAAGGAGGAAGAAATATGGAAAACATTTATCACCTTCACCATCAGATGTGGGTCAGTTATCTCATTCTGAGGATTTCACTCACTGCAGGGGGGCATCCTGGAGAAACTACTCTTGTGTCTGTGTACACCTGGGGAAAAGAGAGCAAAGTTATAACTAAAACACTGTCTCATTTCTTAAACCTGCTACAGGAATGTTACAGCTCCTCATATTGAAGAATTGCCTAGGTCAGGGCACACGCACAAGACAATCATGTTGATTATTTATTTTTTGACACGTTACTTTTCAATGCAGAAGTTTGATTTGAATTTGCCATATCCTTTGAGAGCCTGGAGGAAAAGGACAGTAAATGGTAAATGTTTTACAATGATGGCAGACACTGCTATATATTGATTCCATCAGTTTTGACAAATATCATTCACACACTACTGGGCACAGCCAGCAAGGGCGGGTCAAGTGTCCAAGGACACCTTAGCATGTGGACAGCAGGATCTCAGAGCTAACCCCCAACCATCAGATTGACAAATGACTCTACTCCACCACTAAGCCAATGCCAGGATACAGGAATTCTGCCCATCTGATCAAAGTTAGTTTCTCTTTTATGATTTAAAAAGCCAAGATGGACAACTTATAATCAATAATAAATGTTTACCATGTGGTTAGCCTACAGTTAGCCCATTGCCATGGCTCCACTTTCTTGCTAGTTTTGCCCTAAAATTAGTTGGAGTCAGGATTTACAATTTGTCAGCCACTATTTTTGGACTTCATAATGCCTCATCAGATACCAGGAGGTTTTGTAAAGATAATAGTCAAATTGTTAATTGCATTATTCCATGATCTGCCTGTTTGCCTAACATTCAACCTTTAACCTGCGTTCTTATTACGTCCTCCTCAAGAAAAGTCTGAAGCCTGATCTTACATGGATGGCAGAGAAATCTAGTTACTGACACTGTGAGCTATGACATTGTGCTGCTTCTGCTCTGACTTGCCCTCTGGAATATGTGAGGCAGAACATGTTTAGCGTATATTGGGGGGGGGTCTCTGACCTTTTTGTGTGCATACTGCGAAGACACTGACATGTTTTTTTTCACGAGCTTTAGGTAGACTGACTTTTACTTTGCATGTTTTAAGGAGAGTTTGACCTTTTTGCATGTTCTGGGAAGACATTGATGAGTTTATTTGTGAGGCTTGGACATTTTTGAAAGTTTTGGGGAGGTGCTGATGATTTGTTCATGCTGGTTTCTTAAAAGTTTCCTTGAAGAAAACTTGTGTTGTTTTACAAGGTCCAAAAAGCCCCCTCTTTCATACAAAACAGCACCTCTCAGGTGTGGTTTCTCAGGTATAAAGATCTCTGAAGAGAAGGGGAGGAAAAGTGAGAGGTGGATGTGAGAGGAAGACTCTGTGTTAGAACAGATAAGTGAAGTGAGAGCAGCTGCTTGTCAGAGGAAGTGAGGGTGTTAAAGAGGGGGCAGAGAGAAATAAGGGATGAAGGTGTTGCAGATAAAAACACTCATTACTAGGATGTTGCAGTTGACGACTTTCTGGCAGAGAAAGAACTATTTGAACATTTGGTTGATAAAATCAAACAGTGGGTCTTTTATTTCTGTGTGAAAGTCAGCACAGTCTATTACAATTAAAAAGAGGAGCTTTAAGCTATAACATGCATCATTAAGGAATAATTGAAACATTAAAATGCATGATTTAAAAAGAAGCTGAAAGTGCAGTCTTGGGTTCATCCTCTTATAACCATAAATACCTGCAACTTATCTCTTTGCACTTCAGCTGACAGATTTCTGGAGCAGAAAACTCATAGTAATTAGAGCCATTAAATAAATATTCAAAATTGTAAGGTGAGAAAATACACAATGTATTTTTGATAGTTCAACATATAAAATGAAAAAAAAAAAGCTGTATTGGTTTCTTCATTTATTTTTCATGTAATGTTTCTTTCTTGTTTCACCAATTATCACCACTACACTACAATGTAGGCGCTGAGCTGTGTTCAGCAAATAACAAGTGACACTTTCATTGACAACCCTGACAGCTGCAAGCTTGGCCGTGTAAGAAGTTTACTTTTAAAACCATCTGCTGTGTCCAGAGGGTCCTCATCACCAGATTGCTTTCTAAGCATCTCTAAAGGTCAGCGTTATGGAAAGCCCACCGAATAACCTCGAGGGTAATGCAGCTAAAGCTTAGAGGGGAAAGACAGTGAACTGTCTAGTAAGATCCAGGTATTCTCATTACAAACAGTTTATTAAATACTTTTTAACAGTTAGTCGCAATGTTATAAGCTTAGTTTAAAAATTATGAATGAAAACATGCAGTCTAAAAAGGTTTGCAAAGCTGTGGATGTGCAGAAAACACAATTGGTTGACTTTGATGACTTATCCTTTGAGTATCGGCGGGGGGTCAAGGTGCTCTACTGACCTAGAAAAGCCAACTGCAGTGTAAGAGTGTAAGATACAGGAAAAAAAGCTTTAAGAACTGACCAGCCCACTGAGGGAAAGTCATTTCTCATTCTTTCTTTCTTTCTTTCTTCATCTCAAACTTTAAAAAAAGGACAAACAACAACAAAAAAGTCAAAGCAAAATAATGCATATGTACACCAAACAACTGTACATGTCCATCAAATAAGTCTACCCATGTAAGTACATACATAATATTTCATTACAACAACCAGTTTAAGGAGGACTTATCCAACCCTTCCTTACAAATCAGATCCAATAATGAATTAAAATTATAATTCATTACCAGCGGTCAACAATAAAAATACCTGGGCAATAACCCCATTTTGCAAACTTCAGTCAATCTTCATAGAAAAATGTATCTCTTTATTACAACCAGCAATCTTTATATTAACCTCTAAGAGCACAAACAAAACACACTAATAATAAGAAAGCACTTCAGAAAATCCATTGCACATATTATACATGCGGTTTTAACAAAAACATACTTATTTAACCTTTGACCTTAAAGAGTCTTGTCACTGCAATCTTCTTTTGTATTACCTGAAACCATAATGGCAAGAATAAAGAAATTCCTACATTCAAGGGCCATTTAAAGGGTAAGGTAATGCTTTTAAAAGAATATCAATATTGGGATATTAAGATATTTATCTGATATTTTACTGTATTTGATTTTATCTTGCTTTTTTATGCTGCTGTTTTTATTTTTATTTTTATAAGTAATAATAATAATAATAATAATAATAATAATAATAATAATAATAAGATATTGAGTTATTGTACTCAATCTCTAAGAAAAAAAAGACATTATTTTTGAGAATATGATCCTTGTTTGGATGTACCAAACAAAAAAATTCATGATATAAGAAGGTCACTGTGCAGTATTTAACTTTCAGTTTGTGTCTATTAAAGAAAATGTTCCTTTGTGCATCTTTAACTCTAAGTTTGTCCTTCATTCCAGGCTTCCTGTGCACAGCAGCAGCAGACAAGTGTTTATCATCTCCCTGCAGCAACGGTGCCACCTGTCTGGACCACATGGGCGACTATGTGTGCGTGTGCCCCAAAGGACCTGTATGGTACACGGGGAAAAACTGTGATGAGCTGTATGACGCCTGTATCTTTTCACCTTGCAACAACTGCACCAGCAAGCTAGGGACGGACGAGTTCACCTGCCACTGCCCGGATGGTTTCACAGGACTCAACTGCACCCAGGATGTAGACGAATGTCAGAGTAACCCCTGCACAGGTGTCCGCTCCCTCTGTGTTAACAGAGTCAATGAGTATTCCTGTCACTGCCCCCTGGGGTTGGGAGGGGAGAACTGTGAGGACAACCTGACAGTCTGCTCTGAGGAAACATGCCAGAATGGAGGGACCTGTGTGGACATCCCTGACAATAGGTACAGGTGTGAGTGTGCTGCTGGGTATCAGGGGATGGACTGTGAGGAGGACATCGATGAATGTCAGTCTGAGCCGTGTCAGAACGGAGCCATCTGTAAGGACGGGGTGAACAGCTACCAGTGTTTCTGCGTGCCTGGATTTCAAGGCTACCACTGTGACCTGGACATTAATGAGTGCGCCTCACGACCCTGTCAGAATAATGGCACCTGTCTGGATGAGGTGGATCACTACAGGTGTGACTGTGTCCCAGGATTCAAAGGTGAGAATTGTGGATTTGTTTGTTTTAAAATACCTGCTGATGAGCTGGCATTCAATAGAGGTTAGGACATCGAAAATAGTTATCAAATGGAACAATATAGCGCTCCACTTTCGTCTTTAAATTCTGTAAAATATGACATTAAAGTGTCTGTAAGTAACATACATGCAGACTGGCATTAATTTGTAGGGGTGTCCCGACACAACTTTTTTTACTGCCGATATTGTAGCCTTCAGTATTGGCCGATACAGATATTGATGCGATATTGACACAAAAATTAGCATGACAAGTTTTACACTCGGCTGCAATGTCTTTTTCAGACTTGAACTAAAAATACTGCCACACCGCCGACATCACTCCTACTTCTTTCTACTTTGTTAGTACCTTATTACACGCTGTTGTTGTGATTACATGGGCTCTGCATGCTGGATCAGGGTGCTGCTAGATAGAGGTGCTGGAGCGGAGTCTGGAATGGACTGCTTGTATCGGAGTGCTGATATCGGAGATCTTTGATGCAGGCCGATATAATCTGATATTTGCTTTTTCTGCTGATATCTGACCAATATCCAATATCAATATCGTATAGAGACATTCCTATTATTTTGAATTACACAATGACTCTTTTACCTCTTATTCAGGGTTTACTTGCAGCTAAAACACCCTGAGAAAATACTGCTGTAATGGATGAACAAAGCAACCCTTGCACTAACCAACTAAAACAAATGATATTTATTCTTAGTTTTAGTATCTTACTAAGAAGATAAATATTTGTCTTTATGATTCAACCTTTTACTTCAATACGACAGGGCATTATGCAATGCTATTGGCTAAAATAAAGTGGCTGGTACACATTGGAATCCACCAGACACAGTGGGTGGACTATAAAGATAATGTTTTAATTAAAAATAATAATAAAAAAACTGTATTTGCACTAATGCTGCCTCCTGAAAGTTGTTCAGTATATTTTATATCTTATCATACATATCATTATCCAATTTTCTTTAAAATATCATAGTATCATTTTGAGCTACATTGTGGTATCAAAACATAGGGGACTTTAAATATTTTGCTCTAGTGTGTTCATCCAGCCCTGACTGAAACTTATGCTCTGTAACAGTAGTCAGGGATTTTCAGTTTTATAAATGTTTGTCATATTATTTTGAAACAAGAATTGAAATGAACAAAAAAAGTTGTTTTTTTTATGTTGAAATTAGCAGATCAGAACAGACTTTGTTTTTCCAGTCACAGCTGAGCTCTTGGCAGCGGCAGTGTTATGGGTTGCATAGGTATGTGTAATAGGATAATTATTTGTGTGGCCAATCTAACACCTTGGCCCTCGGCCATCTTTGCTCTCCTGTAGGGATTAACTGTGAGGTAGAGATCGATGAGTGTGAGGTGCAGCCTTGTCAGAACGGCGCCACCTGTTGGGACCATGTGGCGTCATACACCTGTGAGTGCATGGCCGGTTTCCAGGGACAAGACTGTGAGGTCAACATCAATGAATGTGCCAGCATGCCCTGTTTGAACGAGGGCAGGTGCATCGACGGGGTCAACAGGTAGGATTACAAACACACAAATACACCAGAGACATTGTGTACAATGTGGATAAAAATAGAGAACAGAGATTTGCAAATCCTATTCGACCTGCAGTTAATTGAATGCACTACAAAGGAAAGACATATCTTCAATAAATGTGATTGTTTTTTGTAGATATTCACTCATTTTGAATTTGATGCCTGCAACACGTCACAAAAAAAAGGCTGGGGAATCTGAGGAATGCTTAAAAAATGCCTGTTTAGAAAATTCCACAGGTGGGCAGGTTCATTGGAAACAATGTGAGTGTCATGATTGGGTTTAAAAGGACCATCCTCGAAAGGCCTAGTCATTCACAAACAAGGAAGGGGTTAGGGTCACCATTTTTGAACAACTACCTGAACAAATAGCCAACAATGTAAAATGCCAAAGTAATCTTTCAGACAAAACAAACAAACAAACAAAAAGTTCTACATAAAAATGTACAATTTTCCTCTTGACAGTAGGAGTCAATAATATCTCTATACTTTTTTTAATTCCTTGCCTTTTCTAGCTACGTGTGTGACTGTGAGGGGACGGGCTTCGTGGGCGACCACTGCGAGGAGGACATTCCTGAATGTGCCTCTGACCCCTGTCAGCATGGAGCCACTTGTCAGGAGGGAATCAACGAGTACACCTGTCTCTGTTGGCCAGGTAAACAACAGCTCTGCACAAAACACCTGCACTCTCCACCTGTTACTTATGCATAGAAATCACAGATGTACTAAGTACCATTATTCAATTAATCAATCAATCAATCAATCAATCAATCAATCAATCAATCAATCAATCAATCAATCAATCAATCAATCAATCAGTTGAGCAAGTTAGAGAAGGAAAAACTTCCTTTAACTTGCAGAGACCATGAGCAGAACCAGACTTATGTAAATCAGCCATATGCCACTCTTGCATTAGGCTTAGAGAGAGAATAGGGGGAGACGCAGAAAGAGAGAAATGGACAGAGGTGAGATTGTTGCATGTAGTTGAAGCAGCTGGAAAGCAAGCATGTCCACAACAGCAATATGTCTGCAGCAACAATCCAGAGGAACCTATGACATGATGGAGCGAAAAGCGATTCAAAGTTCATGATACAGACAGATAGCAGATTTTTGGCCAGATTTAGAAATCAATATCTCATACACGCCTCTCAAGGCCTCTGTAAAGTGACCTAAAGTCAAACAAGAAAACAAAGAACTTGCTGTACTTGTGTGTGTCTTTGTTAAAGTGCATGCTGTTTATGCGTGGGTCCAGGTTTTGAAGGAGTAAACTGCCAAGTGGATATAGACGAGTGTGAGCAGCATCCCTGTGAGAATGATGGTGAATGTTTCCAGCGCTCAGATGTCCTGAAACACTGGACGCTCCCTGAACTCAACCAAGCCAATTTCAGCTATGGGGAGGCAGCCGGCTACATCTGCCACTGTCTACCAGGATTCACCGGTAAGGCAGCAACAACCAGAAACTACAAGTGTTATCGTACATTAAGTTATTGTAAAGTGACAGAAATACAGATATGAACCTTATCTTTACGTCTGTTTGCAGGAGAAAACTGCTCCATCAATGTGGACGAGTGTGCATCTGCTCCATGTCAGCACTGGGGAAGCTGTCAGGATCTGATCAATTCTTATCAATGTGTGTGTCCAGATGGCTTCACAGGTAGGAAAAACCTCTTATCTGCTCTTATCTCCTGACAAAATAAAACTCAGCTGCTCTTCCTCCACAGACACCTCACGGGTGAGTAAGACAAGGGTGTAACTTGAGTCAGGCCAGTAACTGGGGGTTGAATTTTATGTAGATAAACTAGTCAGACATGTAGGCTGAAGTAACACAAAATTAAGACAATATTATTAACAAAAAAGGAAGTTGTATTCATTAAATTTAGTCTGCAAATTGGAGGATAATTTCAAGTGCCAACATCTAAAAGTAGACCCACTAGACTTTCTAATGCTGGTGGCCATATCATCACTTGGAGAAAACTTGTCACTCTGTGCATTATCACATCAATTCACTAGGACTGTACACTGACTTTTCCTTAAAGGACAGGCAGGATAAATTTTAGACAAAGTTGAGGTGAAGAAATTGACAAAGAGCCACTTTGTTGTAAATACTTGAGGATACATCTCAGACTTCGACGTGCAGTAGGTCACGGAGACCCAACCCAGACACGGGAAAAGCAAGTGAGATGCTAAATTGACATAAAATCTAAATTGAGCTAATGTTAGCTAGCAAGCAATAATGTTAGCCTTGAAAGTAAGGTGACCAGACGTTCCTGATTTCAGGGGACAGTTCCCCGTATTGGATGACCTGTCCCCGGAAATGTCACTGATTTGAGCGTTTCATGAATAAGACCAAAAATGTTGCGTATAGACTAGAACAATGGTTATTTTGGTAGCTGAGTAGGTAGGAAGCACAAGTAAATATGTTGCGTGCAGTCCTGAACAACAGGGGGTTATTACCTGGGGCGTGCGCTGCTAAGAAGTAGTACCAAGATGTTGTCTGTTATCATGCAGCCCATGCCCATTCCTACTGCAGCAGAATCAATAAGTGAGTGAGAAGTGCACAACAAAGTGCTGTACTGTAATTGATCAGAATTTCCTAACATGCCATAAGAACACTCAGAATTCAATTCTTAAAAGAGAAATGTGTTTACATCACATCTCAAAGGTCCACCACAGTTTGTCCAAGTTTACACAGTCACACAGTTTGGAGGCAAAGAGCCACTTTGTCATAAATAACTGAGAAATAGACTCAGACTTAGACATACTTGGGTCATGGAGACCCAACTCAGACACGGGAAACAAGGACCAAACTTCTCTTAAAATTTTCTGTGGTGACTCGGACTTGAATACTTAGAACTTGACTCAAGGTTTGGTGACTCAACTACAGCTAACCCACACAGATAAATTCAAGGGAAAGAGACTACGAATAATTCCTTGAAATGATTTTGCCTTATGTTATCTTATCAGTTGATATAAATGGTTTGTCTCTGCGAAAAGATCTGCCCTTTAAACTGATTGTGCTAGCTAGAGGCAGTGAAGAGAGATAACCTTTTCTCCTCGCCCAAACAATAAAGGGTTAATCTTCCTCCTGCTGATCATTCCTCTTGGCCAGCCAAGGTATTAATTCCTCATTAGAGGAGATTTGTCCCAGCATCACTCAAAACAGGAGGAAACACACCAAAAGCTGACCCCTGAAACTCACAATCAGGACTTAGAAGTGAGGAAGTCAGCCAATAACTCATCAGCACAACGAGAGGCTAATTTTCTGACTCTGTCTGCTTTAGCTACAAAATGTGGAAATACAGCAGAGAAGAGGGAAAGAGGGGATGAAAGGGCATATGGAGAAGCCTAGAAAACAACAAAGCCAATAAAAGGTGCCATATGGTGGGCATTAAACAGGGGTCTCCCAAGAAATTTATCAGGGAAGGGAAGATTACAGAAAAGCTTCTTAAAAGCCTAATTTAAAGGAAAAAAAGAATATAAAGTACTGTGAGTAAAACAAAGGATTGTCTTAAACAACCCAAGCTTCAGTCTTCTGCTGTAAACACACCATGGTTACAGAAAACAAAGTCCGTAGATCCAAATATGATCCTTTCATCCTTTTATGGCAGGTGTGGCTGAGATTGACTTTCCACGTGAGAGAGGTGGTCATCTGTATATCTGGGGGTTAAACCTGCGCAGGTGGATCCTTCTTTATTTTGAGCTTAAATAGACCATGTCACTACTGTGTTTGTGGTTTCAAAGCATCATACAGTATATCTGAATTATAAAATTCTTAGAGTAAATAATTTGTTTATTAATTATTTTCAGATTTGTCTGTCAAAACCACTCCCAAAAGTTTTTCATGATTTTTAAATTTTATCTTCTTTTTTTTTTTATACAATAATGAGGGTTAAAACATGGAAGGTTGAAAAATATACTTTTTTTTTTACTCCAAAAGAATAAAGAAAATTCACTTATCTTAGATGACTTGTGAACATACCACATATGTGAGTTTCCTTGTGTCAAGGTCACGATTGCTTCATCAGTGGGAGGAAACCTAATTCCCAGTTGGTCATGTTGCACTTCAGCCTCTTGTGGCTGAATCAAGTATTACAGCAACTTAGATTGACTTAAAAAAGTTTAACTTTTATATGTTTGCTGTGGTTTTCCTCCCTTTCTTCAAAAAGACAATGAAATAAGAAAAAAAGTATCCAGAAATAAATGTGTTTACACTGGCAGGATAAATCCCTCACCAGTTTTGAATTTGTCAGAAAAAGAGAGAACAACAATTTTAATCAGATTGTACATCAAACTTTATCTTTAGTTAAAATTGAAAATGTGACAAAAGTGAAAATGATGCAAAGACAAGATATCAAAAGCTTGGACTGAACCAATGTTTCGCTGAAAATATGTGCACTAATCGGTAACACATTTGAGAAAAGTCGGGATGGGAATGTGTTTTGTGTTAGATCATTAAAAAACACTTCATGTTTGGGGACCTACAGGGTGAGTTCCTGATGTTTTGAAAACAAAATGTTGCACTTCTTCTTTGGAAGTCAAATTCCAAGGATGACTATAACATATTTTTACATTTTCAAGACAATAATTCTGATGAAAGGCTGACACAGACTGGCAAGCAGATGTGCAAACTTCAACACAACTACAACTAGATCCACATGGAGTCCGGTGTATCTAGTGGAGCTGTTCCAGTTTTGAATCTGCAGCGCCTCCTGCAGGTTCACTCTAGCAGATCCTACCGCAAGTGGGCATCCACAGAGCAGCGGAGAGCAGGGAGAGGACTGCAGCACTGCATGCCTCCTGTCAAACAGTGACAGGAGCCAGCTGGAGGCTGGAGGCTTACTGCCTGGGCTGGGCTGGGCTGCAGACACGAGAGGAGCAAGGGGTGTGAAGGGAGGGAGGAGGGAGGGAGGGAAGGAGGGAATCTGGGAGGGATGCAGGAGGGAGGAAAGGTGGGCAGGGCTGCCTTGTAATCACTCCTGCGTGTCTGTTGGGTACAGAGTGGAGGAGTGGAGGCACTACTGCTCTGTAAGCTTAAAGAGAGAGACAGAGAAAGACAGAGAGAGGACCTGCTTGTGCCATCTGGCAGTGTGTGGAGTGTGTTGGCTGTTCACTTTGTGGATCATGGGGGGAAACACATTGATGCTGCTGCTGTGGTGCTGCTGCCGCGGGCCCTGGTGGCTCACAGGTACAGTATAGTTCAGCACTTAAATGCTTTGATAGCACAAAACTGTGTGCTTGTGTTTTGCGGTTGGGACTTGGCAGGGAGAGGACGAACAGCTTCAGGGCTACTTGTGTGTAACGTATTTTAAAGGACTTTGTTAATGCAAGTTGACTGCTGCCGCCAGGGTTTACTGACGACTAAAACAGGACAAACATACTGAAATTCTGGCACAGTTTGGGTCTGTGGGACTAGTTCGTCTATCACACTGTATTTCAGTGTCAACTTGATTCAATCAGGAAGCAGAAACTGATTTGATTGTGTTAGGAAATCTGTTTGAAGCTCATTAATCTGCAGTTTCCTGCAGTCATTTCCTCATCTGCAAAAGATACTGATAAAAAATGTCATGCCATGCCTGTTCATATGTCCATGTCCAGGCTTCAGCAATCTACTTATCATGTGATTGATTAGCTGGACATATGTGATGGAGTTTAAGATTAAGTATGAGCTCTTTTATGAGAAATGTAAATGTGTTTTGGCTGCACATCTTATAAATGTTTCAATAAACATGAGCGTCTCTCCATTCAGGTGTACACTGTGAAGTAGACATCAACGAGTGTGACAGCAATCCCTGCAAGAATGGCGCCACGTGTGAAGATGGTGCCAACTATTATAGGTGTCACTGCCCTGCGCCAGAGCCTGGCCTCGAGCCATGGGGTGGGACAGATTGTGACGTCCCTCTGATCGGCTGCCAAGAGCACCAGTGCCAACACGGAGCAGATTGTGTACCTGTGCTAACAGATGAGGGACAGCACAATTACACCTGTTTGTGTCCTCCTGGCTGGACAGGAGAACGCTGCAACACTTCCACCACCTTCTCCTTCAACACCGAGGGCTACATCTATGTTCTGCTGCCAGTTTCAAACGAGAAGACCAAACGATCCACAGACTACAACCACGGACTCCACATGTATCTTCGGTTCAGGAGCACTTTACCTGACATGATGCTGTACTACAGAGGAACCCCTGAGCGCTTCGTCTCCTTGGAGCTTGTTAAAGGCTCCCTTCAGGCCAAGGTGAAGTCAGGAAAAGTACTGCAGGCCACTCTCCCTGGACCAGTCAATGATGGGGAATGGCGCCAGGTCACTGTGACCATGGACGAGAGGCTGGTTCTGGCTATAAAAGGACCCGGCTGTGAGAAGGAATGCCAGGTGAAGAATGAAGGCTACAACCACCTTATCTTCCTCCAACCCAGCTCCTTCCAACAGCTGTACATTGGAGGGGCGCCACAGGAATATTTAGCCCAAACATCCAGCAGACGGGGGTTTATCGGCTGCATGGAAGACCTCAGAGTTGACCACAAACCACTTCTGCCCCAGGACCTCATTAGAGAGGAGAACCAGGGTTTAGAACTTGGTTGCAGCAAAAAGGACTGGTGTGAGGAGGACCCATGCATGCAGCGTGGACAGTGTGTGGACATGTGGGTTCGTAGCAGCTGTGACTGTCACCGGCCTTATTACGGAGAGAGCTGCGAGAAAGGTGAGTATACCAGGAAATCTGTGGCTTTTTGAGTTTTCTCTACTTTTGCTGCAAAAACAGACTTCTTAACAGAATACTTTGTGGCTAATTATCAGAGCTTCTATAGAGGTCTCCAGAGCTATGTGTGGGAGGAACTGTTATAATATTTTCTTAAGTGGGTGTCTAAAGCTTCTATGTGGAGTTTTTGATGTTAATGAAATAGACCGAGGTTCATATTCATGCCTTTTCATGGCATAGAAAAGCAAGCAGGAACATTAGGGAACAGATAGATCATTTGTTTATCATCATGTTGTACACTGGAAACCGTGGAAAGTGTAAACAAAGTAGGGGAAGAAAATGCAGGGCTTGACACAGACTTCTTTCAAAAGGAGCTCATGTGCTCCTAAGTTGAAAAAGTAAAGAGCAAAGAAAGAGCTTTAGGGGCAAAATGAATATTGATCAAATAATATGTGTCTTATTGGGCGACATAAGTACTGTTATCTGAAATCAATTTTCTGTCTTTTGGTCACATGACATGGAAGCTATTGAAGGAAAGGTTCAAAATTTGCCTTTAAATGTGAGTGAAACAGTTGGGCTGAAATTTACTATTTCCACACAAATTATTCACACTGAAAGTCTGCAGGTTGAGATTTTTTTGTTTTTTCACTCCTTAAGCTAAACTGAGACTGCTTTATCCACTAGGGGCTACAAAATTGACACAGACTTAAAGTCTCTCACTGGAGCTTTAAAACTAAGAACAGTTTTTGGTTGATGAGCAAAGTATGCTAGCAGGGAAAATGGAATGCAAATATTACTGTTCCCATTTAAATCATGACTTGCATTACAAACACCGTGCAAATTATCACAGGAAGATTCATTTGCATTTTGTGCAGAGCTGGTGTAGTTACCATTCAACTTTCACAAGACACCACAACTGCAGTGATGAACTTTGTGGCACAAGACCAAACCTGCAGTCAACCAATAAAACAGTTGACATTTTAACTGTGCTGACTGTGCTTCATGACTTTTCTTATAATTTTTGGAAAAATAATTGGGAGAGTTCAATAATAATCAATACATAACCATTTTCTATGTTTAAAAGAGTCATGATTTATATGATCCTGGCAGATGGCTTTGGTTTCTAGCAAGAGCTGAACAGGCTCCACACACACGTCCCCTGGGAATGAAAGGAATAAGCAGCCATGGTTGTAGTAATTTCTTGTTTTAATGTTTTATCAGTTATTGTTATGGGATTTTACAAAAAGTTGCACATTTAATTTGTAGGGGTGAGAGAAAAAAATCGATACAGCGTAGTATTATGATATTTTGTCTGGTGATGTATTGTATCATCTCAATCGATTTTTCATGTTTATCACTAATATGAAGTCAAATCTATGATAATGGAAAAATAAAATCAACTGTTTGTCCAGTGAGGTTGGCAGAGGTGACATCATAGTGCAGGGGAAAGTTAGTACTACAAATACAAGGCTTGCAAGGTGTGCTTCATGAAAATAAAATAAAGTCTAAATAAGACAGACATAAAGGAAAGCCAAATGCTAAATTAGCTAAACAGTTGAAAAAATTGCAATATTGTATTGCAATACTCAATGTATTGCAAAATGTTAAAATCGCAATAATATCTTATCATGGCCCAAGTATCGTGATAATATCGTATCATGGGGCTACTGGTGATTCCCACCCCTATTAATTTGTATGGTCATGTTTGCAGAGTTCATGTGCATGGCCATGGTTGGGTGGTGCCACCTTTACCTGCATTATGCCACGATGCTGGACTGGTTAGTTTCAAACAGTATGTCCTCAACTGCATTGAACATCCCCTGCTGCAAAGGTGTATGAGGATGAATTCAACTGAACAGGCTCCCAGCTTGTTAGTAAAACAATTACCTAAAAAGACGAGATATGCCACATAATGCGTGACTTAAAAACTGAGATTACACCAGGAAAACATTTAGATCAATAAGAATAACTCACAAAATAAAGTATGAATTCTCTGTTTATGGCAATTAAGAGTGACAGAGAGGAGCAGTTATCATGGACGAGGTTTATACTACATACAGACACGCCAATTAAACCAAACATTATTAGATTATTGAGCAGAAAATTACACTGACAGTCTTTAAGATGTTATGATCAATCATATTCAGGGGTAACACTGAATCCGGCCACTGACTAAATCAACCCGTGAGTAAGCAGGTTTAAGCTTCACAACTGGGACAGCACAGAGCACAAGAAAAACAGTCACTAAGTCTGTTTCTGTGTAGTTTCTTTTTCTCACAGGCTAAAAAAAGCTCTCATGAGGAGAGAAATGTTGCACACTAGTCTTGTGTAAGCTTTGCAAAGATAACAGTTGAACATGGGCTGTTTGATTTTCATGCAGGGCTCTCCTGCATTCTTGCTCTTAAAACTCATGATCTTACAACAGCTTGGCATCTTTTAGACAAAGTAATATTTGTCTTAAAGTTTACATAGACGCCATTTTATTTTACCTCTTTTTTTCTTGCTCTGACCATTAACTCAGCAATTCTGAGTCCCCACCCAAAGTGTTGAGTCAGCCACAAACCAGTTTTTTTCCACTTCTGCATTCCAGCAGTGAACAAAGCAGAAACTAAATATTTTTGCAAAGACCAGAAATGTTCAATCAGAATATTTTCACCTGTGAGCAACGATCGGATCAAGTGTTGACATTAATACAGATGACAAACAGCTTCTACCAAATGAAATATTTGTATTCTGTGTGCTGGATTAAGAAACTGAAAATGCTGTATATCCCTCTCTTCAGAGTATCCATCATGGACTTTTGGCCACGAGAACACCAGTAGTTACGCTGTCTTCAACATCTCAGAGACCCACGGAGACAACTTCACCATCTCCTTCTTGATGCGCTCCCTCAAACACAACGGTCTGCTACTGCAGCTCCATCGAGAGGGAAAGCCTTACTTGACCATCTACCTGAAGGAGGGCACTGTTGCTATTTACAGCCCTTACACCACGCTGCTGTCAGAGGCCCAGTTCGTTACTGATGGACTCAATAATTTAGTGACTGTAAAAGTGCGTTATGGAAATGTGGTCTTTCCCAAAGCGGGGGACCATCGTGCCATAGGGAATGTGAGCATCGAGGAGGGAGATGTGGCTTATGTCGGAGGACAGCCTGCGGGCATGGGGGTGAGCGCCTGGGGTGGAAACTTCAAGGGCTGCCTGCAGGACATTCGGCTGGACCAAAAGCACCTGAATGCTGGGGATCATCCAGAAGAGGTGGAGGTTTACACAGCAAGTGTGAAGGAGAACATTCTGCCAGGATGCCAGAGTGACGATACGTGCAAGGTAAACCAAATATACATGTACAGTAGATTCCTCAAGTTTGTACAAGTACCTGCAAACAAAGCCGACTGCTGATCTGATTTATGTTCTACTTTGATTTTAAAGGTGGGGTAGGCAGGATCTGAGGAAACGCCAGTTTTTTGGAAAATTCTTGAATGTAAACACTACCCCTCCCAACCTGTTTTCCCTTCAGCTCCTCCTCTTCCCTCCCTCTCTCCTGCAGCAAGCCCCGCCCACAAACAGGCGCTCCTGCTCGCTTGTATCGCTCTAATTAAATTCAAATATGATGCAGATGGTTACAAATAGGGCCCAGTCAATGTGAAAGTAGAAAGCATTGGTGCTACTGTAGATGCCAACAGACTACCAGCAAACACAATGTTTGCAGGACTTCTACAACTAGGATAAAGTGACATAGTCCAGGACCTGAGGTAAACAGTTTAGCGGCGCTACAACAAGCAGCAGGTCCCGTTTGACAAGAAACACTTCTGTTACAGACACTTGGCTTACTTTGTTAAAGCGGTTTACCTGTCCAGCAGAAAGGTTACAGGGTCCGTTAGATCCTATAGCCTCCCCAATCGTTTATGCTGATGTTGACCCGGCTTTTTAGATCTTGTCCGGTTTACCTCATTTTAAGCGCTGTTATTCCGCCAGAGTCACCGGTATTTACTTCGTTTTATTGCTTGTGTTGGCAGTCGTGGCTAAAGGAGGATTCAGACAATTTTCCATACTTTCTGGTTGGTTTCTGCTGTCCGACATTGTAGCATGCTAACTTTGTTTGGGCTCGTGAACGACACAGGTTTCAGGTTTGGGGAGGCGGAGAACGGCTTTGTTTACAGTCAGAAAGAGCGGGCTGCTCAAAAATTTCAAAATGTTGACTACACAGACATAACAAAACACGGTGATATCATTACATTACCAAATGTTATCAATAACTAATAGTTATTGACTGATATTAAAAGCTTTTTTGTGTATACACCACAAAAAAAAGATGCTTCTCTAACAGAATCCTGCCTATCCCACCTTTAAATGGAGGACTTGAAATTTTCTGATAAATATTGTGTTTTGCAGTCTGTGGCTCTAACAATGACCCAACGCTAATTGTGTTAGCCCCCTGCAGCACTCTTTAATACCTGGGCTATACTGCTCAGCCTCAACCCTATTAACACTGATCTGGTTGTGACTACTTGGTTTGTAAGTTACTGCTCAATCCACTCTGCTGCTTCTACACCTGCGGTCGCATCGGGTTAGGGATTTCACATGCCGCCATCTAATCTTTCCATCTGTGTTTGTTTCGCAGGAGGAGCCCTGCCTCAATGGCGGCCAGTGTCAGGTCACCTGGAATGACTTCAAGTGCGACTGTTCCATTAAGTACTCAGGTCGGCTGTGTGAGACGCGTTTGTGGTGCGTGGACAAGCCCTGTATTGATGGCGTGCGCTGCGTAGACCTTCAGGATGGTTACGAGTGTAAGTAGTCCTTGGCAGTGATCGTCACTCTTTAATAGAGATAACGGAAGTCACGTCAGGGTCATTGTTTCCCTTCTTTAGCTCTTAGTCAGACCTTCTTGGAAAGTTACTTGAGAACCAGGTTACGTAAGAGGACAACCGTTCAATTGTAGACCCTCACTGATGCCAAAGTAAAACTCCTTTAGAACAAAGACGATGACTGTAAGAGTACAAAAGCTACAGTAGATTATCTGCTTCAGTAACATGTTTCGGCTGTTATTGTCAGAGCGCCTTTTATATATAAGTGCAAAAATGTTGATGTCTGTGACAGCTGCAGGGCAGTGATAGGTTTGTCAAAAAAAAAATTCATTCAAAAATTGAACAAATATTGAACAGTGTGCCTGCAAATCGACTTGTTTACCTGTGTGTATTTAATTCGTACAAATTCTGCTTGCAAGACTTGATTAAACGATAAAAGATGAAAATAATCGGATGAGTTAAACTTAACTAATGCATAATTTTTAGGGTAAAAACTTTGAGCAAAAGACAACAGGATAAGTATAGAACAAAATCTGATTTAATCATTTGCTGTTTGAGAAGCAGAATGGTGCAGGATAGACCCAGCGGATTGGCAAGACTGTCAGTAGAAAACAGCAAGTACTGGAATAGGCTTAATTGAGTGCAAAACGTGCTAGATGAATTTCTAATTGCAAAGGAAAGGGTTGCCTCGGTTATGGAATAATAAAAATCAAATTGCATGAAATTACGTAACTGTAATGCCTTTTTTTAATCCAAATACTTTCCCTGTATTCTTCTATTTTGATCATTTAAGATTGTTGGACAGAAATTTAAAAGTCTTTAGTTGCAAAATTTTACTGAGCCATTATTCTTTTTACATTTATTTGATTAATTAGTTAAATGTTCATTCAATTTCAGCAATTGTGTTCCTCACTTATAGTAGTGTTAATAGTAACAGGGTTTTATAGTGTTTGATAGAGATTTAATTGTTATTTCATCCATCCATCCAATTTCTACTGCTTTTTTTCCATTGTTATTTCATGATATGCAAAATGTGAAAATAATATGAGTATCAGCCACTGTCTGAGCTGCTCTCTGATTATCAGCTTCTGCATTTGTATTTCAACATTTGACTTACAGAAATGTCTTTTACATGAGTACATAATACAAGAAGGATATACAGAATACCCGGCAGCCTGAGCTGAACTGGCAGCCCTTCTTTTTTATAAACTTTGAATAAACTTTCCTCCTACGTTATGTCATAACCACGCATTTAAAGCACAACTACTTGTACATCTACTCTGTCCATTTTCATGGTGTTAGGATGATTTAAAGTCTACAAAATCTTATCTTTACACAGGTTTAACTGAGGCTGGTTTCCAGGACAACACTCTCCAGTACATTGCTAACAGCTCCCTGTCGAGCCCTGTGACCAGCATCACTCTGGAGTTACGGACACGTGACACAGAGGGGGTCTTATTGCGAGCTGAAAGCAGAGCTGAAGTCTTCTGCTTGGGTCTGCTCAACTCCTCTCTGTTGGTCAAACTAGACAGCGGGGTGGATTCAGAGCTGCTGGCCTTCACGAGTGACAGACCCATCGCAGATGGAGCCTGGCATCAAATCCAGCTGACCATGGTCGACCCCACCCAACTAGCTTCTCGCTGGCTTCTTACTGTGGATGGGCAGAGAGTTGGCGGCACCTATGGTGAAGGCGGCAGCCTTGACTTCCTGAATGACACCAAGATCTGGTTGGCTGAGAAATACACTGGATGCTTAGGGGAGGTGAGAGTGGGTGGAGTCTACCTGCCTCTGGTCAAAGTTCAAACCCCCCCTCAGATGAGCCGCTTCTCCAGAGTAGGTGGAGCTGAGCCAACCCTAGGATGCCATGGCTTACCAGTATGTGAACCCCAGCCGTGCCTCCACGACGGTGTGTGCCAGGACCAGTTCAATGAGTTTAACTGCAGCTGCAGTGCAGGATGGGAGGGGAAACTGTGTGAGGCAGAGATTAATGAGTGTTCCTTAAATCCCTGTGTCTATGGGACATGTAAAGACCTACTGGCAGACTACCAGTGTGAGTGTGAGCCAGGATACACAGGCAGAAACTGCCAGGAAGAGGTAGATAACTGTCAGGAGTTCGACTGTGTTAATGGAGGAACCTGTGTTGAAAAAGAAGGAGGTTACACGTGCGCATGTCCTCCTGGCTTCGTGGGTAAGCGGTGCCAGTAAGTACAAACTTTCCCTTTCTTTATAGCAAATTTAAGGCTCCAATAGGTCCTATATGCTTGTTGTTTTTGATCATTAAAAATAGCAAAATTAGCTTTAAAAAATAGGTTTGCAAAGTTCTGGGGAAGTAAAGGTTCTGGATACTTTGGAAAGAAAACCTGGTCTAGTTCTAGACAACAAAAATGTTTTAAATACATTGGATGGTGATGAGTTTTGTGTTTAAATTGAAAGGTGGCGGTTCCCTCCAGCAGCATGTGATGCAAACAACGAGTGTTTGAATGGAGGGGTTTGTATAGGAGGGGATTCTGGAGGAAACTGCACCTGCAAGCCGGGATACACTGGTGACAGGTGAGAGCAGCACTCCTCACATTCCTTACACACACGTGCAGCTCAGGAAAAAAAAGTGTGTGTCTAAACCACATCCAAGTGTAAAGGTCAGGAGAGTGTGTGTAACTCTCTCAAACCTCATTGATGTGTTTCAGGTGTGAGACAGAAATAGACGAGTGTGAGTCCAACCCTTGTCTGAACGGAGCCACCTGTCTGGACAGACTCAACCACTTCCAGTGTGTGTGTGTGCCGGGCTACAGCGGCAAACTGTGTGAGAGAAATGTAAGTAACTGACAAGATTTTTATCGACTCTGGTTATGAGTCTGTTCCCTTTCATGTCACGTGTCATAAAAAAAAAAAAAAAAATTGATTCAAAATAGGTGTAAAGATAGACAGAAGTTCACCACTGTAGCACTGCGTGAGGAAAAATGTTCCTCGCTATAAAACTACAAAGAGTTTGGGAGTTTCAGCAGCTACAGTACATCGTATTATTAGAAGTTTCACGGAATCTGGAGAGATCACTGTACAAAAGAGACAAGATCCCAAACCAGTACTGGATGGCCATGATCTTTGGGACCTGACTCTGTAGTGGAAAAACTCTACATGGGCTCTAAATCATATTCAAAACCATTGTAAGTGAACAGTTCACTGCAAAGAGAAAACCATTTAGAAACATGATTCAGAAACACCAGCTACTTCTCTGGTAAAAGCCCATTTATGATGGACTGAGGCAAAGTGAAAAACTGTCCTGTGGTTTGATAAAATATAACATTTTTGGAAATTATGGACACCATTATGGACCTAAAAATGACAGAAATCACCTGTCTTGTTTTTAGCTCACAACTAAAAAGCCAGCATCTCTGATGGTGTAGGAATGTAGAAGCATCCATGACATGGGTAGCTTACACATCTGGGAAGACACTATCAATGCTGAATATATATACAAGTATATATACAGCACTTAGAGATTTCAGCAACATATTTAATGCTGCTATCCAAAAAAAGCCTTTTGTTCAGGGACGCGCTTACATATTTAAGCAAGACAATAATACCAAATCACATCCTCCTCCTATAACAACAACGTGGCTCTGTAGTAGAAGAGTCTGGATACAAAAGTCACCTGACATGCCACTTAAAAAAGGAGGGCATTATGGAAAGAGAAGACAAAAGAAACCCCAAACTGTTGAGTAGTTAAAATTCTACAGACTAAAAAGTGTGTTAAAAGCAGGTGATGCATCGCAATAATTAATATGCCACTGTCTTAACTTTTATGAAACACAGGAACTTAAAAGTGAGCACAGATTTTTTAAAAAGATTTACATATTTCAATTTCAACAATTGATATGTTGTTTTTGCACTATGATCAACAACATTTAGTTAAATAAACTGCATTTTACACTGCATTTCAACTCATTTTAAATGAAGAGCCTGTACATCAAATTATGTTTCTTTCTGAGATGTTGGTCAAGAAAAGTTTATGACAGAGAAAAATCTAACATCAAATCAAATACATGCATAAATGAGAAAACATGAATAATTCCAGTTGTCTTTTTAAGGGATTGATTTATTATTTTAATCCTATACCAACATTGAAGTGAGACGGCTTGAACGTCTTTTTAGGTTTTATTACTGTGACACCAAAACATGATAACGTTTGATGCCGGAGAAAAAACAAAATCGAGGCTCCCTGTAGCTCTAATCTAGGAAACATGAGTGTATTTTTATGTACAACTATTTAAGCCATACAGTACAACTGTTTTCAAACTTTTTGATAAGCGCCTGATTAGTTAAAACTGTGCAGTGGTGTTGACATCATGATCTGTCCTGCAGAAAGGACAGCAGAGGGAGCCAGTCCCTTGGCTGGCAGTGACAATCCCCCTGATCACGCTGTGTGCGCTGCTGGCTATCCTGGTGGTGTTTTTCCTCGTCATGACAGCGCGGAAGAAGCGTCAGTCAGAAGGCACGTACAGCCCCAGCGCTCAGGAGGTGGCTGGAGCCAGACTGGAGATGGGCAGTGTTCTCAAAGTGCCTCCAGAGGAGAGGCTGATCTGAGGCCTGCAGCTCTGGGCTTGTGTAAAGGTGGAGAGTGCAAAGGGTTGAGAGAACAAATGCTCTGCAGGGTTACGCTGCTGGGCATCTACTGCCCTACAAGGCAGTGATGGAGGACAAATCAATGACTAATTGTCCACCTGGGAAAACTACTGACACTGAGGCCTCTCAGATGGACGGGTAAAGACCTGAGGCTGAGAGACTATGTGTCTTCATTACTCATAAGGTCCTCTTGTGGTCAAAGGATGTTCTGACCTGCCAGTTCTCCTTCTAAAACGGAGTACTGAAGACTATTTAAAGCTGGATCATGGCGGAATATGGCATGTACTACAACATGGCAAAAGGAAATTACTTAAATGTGTGTACTAATTTACACAGTGGGGAAATTCCTCGAATTCCTCCATACAGTCACATAAGGAACAAGTGTTTCATCATTTATGGTTCAGCAAAGAAAACAAGAGGAATGTGCAGCAAGGAAGACGCACATCTGAAAGGAAATTGTGTCAAATTACGAGGTCAATCAAGGGATTTCTTTGTTGATATGTGAAAAAAGGATTTTTTCATGTAAGGTTTAAGTTCAACCAGTTTCAACCACCTCAACTGCAATATATGTGAAAGAAGGGGGAGACTAGTCATGGCATTACTCAAAATAGATTTTTCAGGTGTAGTTAAAATATGTGTACACACAGTTGTTGTTTGAACCACCATGCATCATGGGATGTGTGATGTTAGCAAGAAAGTCCAGAGGCATCATAAAGATGCCCGGACGCTGACGTTGTCGACTGATTTCTGATTGAACGAGCAGTTTCAAGAGTCCTTTGTGAAGTGTAGTTTATCATGAGTTTGAATTCAATTAAGGGCCCTTTTATCGAATTGCATGCATCTGAAGTGTCATTATTATTTGCGCATACATTAGTGCCAACGGGTTAAACCTAAAATGAGGTGCTAAAGTGTCTAGTCATGGTGAAGGTAAAGTCATGGGCACAGTGCTTCCCTACAATTCAAAGGGCTCATACTAGAGACAGAGGGTTGAGCATAAGACTATTACTACTATCCTCCCTCAGAGTTGCCCATGTGACCAAAAATACAGCTCGAAGGGTATTTTCTATGATGCTCAAAGATCATAGTGAAATGCTGTTAAACATATCCTGATGTAAACCGCAAAATATGGTTCTGAATGTGCATTTTAGTTCTAAAAGTAGAGTAGGGTGACCATATTCTAAATTCCCATAAAGAGGACACTACCATGCGGGGCGGAGTCATGGAGTCAGGCGTTGTAAATTTCTAGTTTTTCAGGTCGGGTCCAGTGTTTTTTACGCACTTCCAACTCAGTTAGTCCACGCGACACGAGCTCAAAAATTTCATACAAAACCCTGGACATTTGAAGGATTTTATAAACTCCCCCCAGACAATCTTGGACAGCCCCCCCAAAAAAGACGACATGTCCGGGTAAAAGGACGACGTATGGTCACCCTAAAATAGGGACCATAGAGTAAGGTTTTTCATTGATGACAGTCATGCACCATTCAGGTACATTCATGCTAGCTACTGCGCACATGACATGATAAAATAACTTTTGATCGTCGTGCAAATGTTTGATGAATCTTGTGACAGAAGCAGAGTTTCAGGCAAAATCCGCTGAAAACCTAAAATTTACTCAATGTCTTCAAAAAGTCGATTAAACCTGTATTTTTGATGCAGGTTTGGCCAGACTTTCCACAAGGCTAGAGTCGTCTTTTTCAACGTCTTTCCAATGAAAAAAAAGTGACCTGGAAAGCTAGTCTCATAACTCTTTCCTCATCAAATTTTACAACCTAATGTCCTTTTGGTCTTTAAATTGGTGTTTTCAACTTTCTCTTCTTTGTCTTAGAATCTGATCCCATGAAAAGATGGATGTTCTGTTCGTACTATTGGAAATGACCTCAAGAGCGCCAAGCTTTTATGAAACATTTGTGTAAATAACTGCTGTGTTATACTGTCTGCGCACTGTACGGCCCAAGAGGCTGACCACTTTTTATTTGTGTTCTTTTTTTTTTTAATTGTCTTTGTTTATTTGGCTGTAAGTGAATTTTTGTGGTGTACATATTTTGCTACAATGGGCGAAGTCACAGTCTTTTTTATATGTATTACTTTCAAAGGGAGCAGTATTTAATGGTAGGAATGTTAAGACTGTGAACTAAGGTGGTTAGATCAGGCAGAAGACTTAAATACAATCTCTCAACAAATCAGAAATCATGGGTCTGCATGACTTTCGATCTGGTGGTAGATGTCTTCTCTCAGCCGAGCTCCATTCTCACTCGCTAGGGTTGTTGTTCAACTGTTTACAATAACTTTGAACAGAAAGGAACTCTTTGTCATTAAGATATTACCTGGGAGGCCCAAACATATGCATTTCTTTCCTGTTAAACAAAAACTTTTCTCTCAGAAAGAAAGCAAATAACTCTGTTTTCCTTGTTGTTTAAGTTATGCTCTCAAAGATGTAACGAAAATATTGTAAACTCAGAATTATTTTATTTTAAGTCTGATGCCACTGTACTCACACTTGAACTCCAGGAAGTCACGCCACTCTTTCGCCTTCCACTTCGTTCTGTCTACAGAATGCTTTTACAGTAAATTGAAGGTGCTGATGTGACACAAATGAAGACAAACTTTCTGTTATGGATTCATTTCAATCAACAGTTTTTGAAAGGGACGTAGAAAGACACTGGTAGAACTGAATATAGTATTACAAGTCATTTTAAAGGGGCTATGAGGAAGGTCTTGATCTTAATCTGTGGAAGTTCCTGTGAAAGTTACCAAATATTGTTCCTGAGGGACATGTATAAACTATATGTCCAAAAGTATGTGGACAACATAAATGTTGGGAGTGTATTTAATAGATTACAGTGAAATAATGTCAACACATTCTCACTTCTGATCCATTGAATCGTTTAAAGTTTATTTTATTTATTCATAGTTTTATTTAATCATGACTGATACAATATACTGTAGATGGACAAGCTCTAAACAGCCATCATCATGGTGTTTAAAGTGGATGCTAATTTGCTGCAATGGTCCCAAGAAGGACTTTTGGAAAAATAAAAGTTACAGACGGTAAATTAAAAGGGAAAAATAGAAAAGATGAGCAAGATATTCACACATTTAGCGATAACAAAAGCTAAAGAAAATCTGACATGAATTTGGGTGGTGCTCTCAAAATGAGGGTACGTTTGCGAAAAGTCTCAAACTATCAGGTTTCAGGGTTAAAACCACCTTCTCAAAGAAAGCTGAATGAGGTTCCTCTTTAGCGCGGTAGGCTATAGAGAATGAACAAATTTACACAACCCCTGGCATACTGCTACTTCTCTAACTGACTACAGGATAAAGAATTGTTTTCATTTACCACAGAAGTCAGAATCAACTGAAAGCCCCTTTAAAATGGCTGCAGGGATTGTACAGATATGAACATGATGAGATTATGTTATGTGCCTTCATGTTCTCCTGCATCCATGACATGTAAGAAACCTGTCTTCAGTTTCTTTTGTACAGATGAAAGCCTTTGAGAAGAAAGGGCGGTGGCTGAAACATAAATGTAAGGGTTTTATGTGAACAACCCTTTGCTCTCAATATATATGAATACTGCTAAAAGCATTATAGTAATGCACAGACACAGTGCTACAGAGTGCTTCAGATGTAAAGAACACACACAGGGGGGACACAGAGGTGACAAAGATGTGGAGTAGTGAATTTACACTGGAGTTGTATTTTACTGAAGTTGTACCTTGTAGATCAGTGATGGATCCTGTTCTGAAATGTTAAACATTTACTCCAGGATATATTCCTATTCTGGACCCTCTTTCAGACAAAACACAGAAAAAACGTGGTGCATTCGAGGGTCAAAGCAGGACTTTCAGTGGTCTCTAAGTTGTCACCTTGGTATTTAAAAAGTGAATATCCATTTTTTTGAAATACCACTCTTTGTTTGTAATAAGGACCTTTATGTGCGTGAGGAACATTTTGTGAGCTGTCTGTAAAGTATGATGTGCATATTTTAAATCTGAGTAGATAGCGCCTTTGTTTGTATATAGAGGGAAAATGGGGCTTCAGTTGGAATCAAAGATAGCTGGTATTGAATGTGTCTTCAGCTGTGTTTCAGGATGAATAAAATGAAAGGACATGAATAAACAGGAAATATGGTGTTAATGTTGTTAAGAGTCACTTATTGTATGGTAGTATCCAACTCAGGGGTTTGCATACTAACATGGTTCATGTTTACGGCAGAAAACAAACAAATTTAGACATTGCCAAAGTCGAGTTGGTGATTTATTATGATTAATCACAGTTTTTTAAATTTATTTATTTTTCTTTATAAATACTTGAAATGCTTCAAATTGAAATGAACGTGAAAGCTACCAGTGGCATGCTGCAAATTGGAATGATTTCTTAAGGATTTTGGGGGGAAGGATTTGAGGTGGCCAAGCAGATTTCAAGTGGGGATGGGGCCACCCTGCAGCCAAGCTTACTGTGCGCACCACTGCACTTACAGAGGCACCTTTTATGTATTATGATGGATGCAAACGCAGGATTACTCGGAGAACTTAGGTCTCACTTAGTTGAAGCTGATGTCTTCATTGAAACTTAGTTTGGTTGAGCAGATGAATTCCCCTCAGATAAACAAACAAACAAACAAACTTTTTTTCCACTGTGTAGTGCTCGCCCTGCTGCCTCCTCCCACTCTTTAAAGCTGTAACGGTGAATTCTTTTGTGTCTCTCCCACCAGCCTCACTGCTCAGTCAGTGCTTCTCCTCCCTAATAGTGGTAAGTGAAGTAGGACAAGCATACTTCCCTTCCTCATTCTCTCCCTCCTCCTTCTCTTTATCCTCCTCCGACAGTGAGGAGTGTAGAGGATGACGCTGGCATGTGACTATGAGACCACCCTGCCAGAACTTAGAACTCAAAATAATGCAACAGACTGATAAAAAATATGTTACCTGTCCAAGAAAAACACTGCTTACTTCTTTTAAAACCTTTGTGGTCATATTTGCATCCAATGCGCTGAAGTTAAACAGATATTCTGGCGTAAAATTAATTTAAGGTCAAACACACTGTAACACTGAGTTAGACACCCCCTCGAGAGATGAATGTTGCTGATCGCTTGCTTCTCTAGTTATACCAACTTTAGTAACGACCGCAGGATAGCAATACACAACAGTCTAAAGAGCCATAAACAAATCTCAACCAAAACGCCACTCTATAGCTACAAATAATGCTCAGAACAGCACCTAACTTCATCAACAGTACATATGGGGTCCCAGCCATAGTACTAGCCACCAAACATCTTTTTAACTTTGCCTAATTTCTTCAGCAAAGAGACTAAACACAACTCAACTACTCTCTTCCAGCAGCCGCTTGTTTGTAGTGAGACCTCGGGCCAATCCATTACAGACTGTTTCGGGGGGACGCAGCTCAAGGAAGAACTTTTATGATCATTTCTTTATCGTTTCCTTGAAGTAATAATCACCATATTAATCATTTTGCACTGCAGGCGCGGTATTTCTTCTGCCTTAGCATCTCAGTCTGATTGTATTTCCATGAGGAAATGATCATAAATGTTCTTCCTTGAGCTGTGTCCCCCTGAAACAGTCCGTAATGGACTGGCCCGAGGTCTCACTACTAACAAGCGGCTACTGGAAGTGAGTAGTTAAGTTGTGCTTAGTCTCTTTGCTAAAGAAAAATATACCTTTAAGGCCAAATCTTGTCATATCAGTTGTAGTGCTGTATGGTTCTAGTTTTATTCTGTAGCAAAAAAAACCCTGTTTTCACACGTTGCTATTCATTATTTTGTCGGATAAATTTTAGAAAAAGTCTTAATGATAGTTCATTCATTTATATCTATTTTAGTCTGTTTAGTAAGCAGCTCAAACCTCTTCACAAGGCAAGATATTATAAAGGAAATATTTATTTTATTTTTGTTTTACTTTATGAACATGTAAGGTTTGTTATACAGTTTGCGAAACCCAGAGCGAAATATTTTGAAAAAGAAGTAATGTAATAAGTGGATAAACTCCTTTGCTGTCAGCATAATAATATGTCAACAAGAGCCCACATATCCTTCAGACAGTCTGACATATTGACATTTTGCTAATAAATAAACTTCATTATTGTCAGTCCCTCCCCTGCCCTCAGACTAGGGTGCACAGCGCAGCCCCACCCCCCACCACGCACCTCCTCCTCCACCCATCTGCCCCTCGTTCTCCCTGCCTGGATGGCTGGCTGGCAAGTGACAGGACTGACAGACGAGGCCTGTTCCTGGGTTAGTATCATGTCGGTGGGGAGCGAAGCCTCCCGGCGGTGTCAGCCATCATGGTGCCAGCTCCAGGTCTAATGAGGGAGACTGCTGCATCGGCATTCCCTCCCCGGTGTCAGGAATGGGCCGACAAATCAGCAGTGCATCACGGGCCCGGCACAAATGATATGTTGACAAATGCAGATATTTCACTTTTAATTGACACTAAGAGACAGAGATGATCCGGCTGCCAGGGCTTCTGAGGAGACAAGGACAAGACAAGATGGGAGAAATATATGGAGAGGGAGAGAGCAGGGAGGGGGAGGGAGGAGGGGTAAAACAGTGTAAGAGAAAAGGAGATAATGGAATAGGCCTTGGAAGATGTTTAATATTTGCGCGGGGTGTCATTTTTTTTTCTGTGTGTTATGGTTGAGGTGGAGAAGAAAGGAGAGGGGGGTGAGATTAGAGGTGTGTGTGTTTCTGAGACTTGTCAGCACTGACAGCTGCTGTATTATACGGCAGCCTCACAGCCGACTGACTCCTCTAAACCCTGACGACGCTGCCTATTCATTTAGCCAGGTGGGCTTCTCTGTAAAGTCTCTGATTTCAACTCTGCCTGACAAAGGCTGGATCAGGGAACACTCTGATATTCCCCTTCTCCATTGGCTCATATTGTCTGCTTGTGCGTTTATTTTAAAAGTGTTAAGGCCCTTTTTTAATAAGATAAATTAATTCTTTTCATAAGCTGCTATGATAGCTTTTAATATTGAGTCACGCATTTTGCCTGTCTTGTTCTTATCTTTCACTCATGAAATATCACAGCTTTATCAGTCATCTGTGCTTTAAACTGTAGCTGTTGATTTTTTGTGCCATGATGCACCGACTGTTTCCCAAGTCAGGACTGCAGGCAGGTGAGTTTAACGCCTGGACTCTGCCACTACAGAGCCATGCTGTGTTGTTATGTGCAGAATGTGGTTTGGTATTGTCTTGCTCTATCATGTGAAGTCTTCTCTAGAAAAGGCATTCCCAGATGTGTAAGCGATCCATACTTTAGAGATGCTAGGTTTTGAACTGTGAGCTGAAAATAAACCAGCTGGTTCCTCTCCTCTTTTAAAGGGATATTCCAGCGTAAAATTAATTTAGGGTCAAACACACCGGAACACCAAGTTAGACACCCCCTCGAGAAATGAATGTTGCCGACTGTTTTCTTCTCTAGTTATACCAACTTTAGTAACAACCGCAGGATAGCAATACACAGTGGTCCCAAGAGCCACATGCTCAACCAAAACGCCACTTTGTAGCCACAAATAATGCTAAGAACAGCACCTAACTTAAGCACCTAACACTAAACACAACTCACCTACTCTCTTTCAGCAGCTGCTTGTTTGTAGCAAGACCTCGGGCCAGTCCAGTTAAGGTTTTGGTTGGGTTTGTTGATGGCTCCTCAGACTGTTGTGTATTGCTATCATGCAGTCGTTACCAAAGTTGGTAAAACTAGAGAAGCAAGCAGTCGGCAACATTCATCTCTCAAGGGCGTGTCTAACTCGGTGTTACAGTGTGTTTGACCCTAAATTAATTTTACACCGGAATATCCCTTTAAGTGAAGGATGACGCATCCACGATGTCCATCAAGAATGTCAAATTTTGATTTGTCAGACCACAGGACAGTTTCCCCCCTTGTCTCAGTCCATCTGAAAAGGGCCTGGGCCCGCAGATGTTGTTGTTGCTTATCTAGTTTAGTCTGCATTTGTAGATGCTGTGTTCACAAACAGTTATTTGTGGATGTGATATTAAGCCCATGTTGCGATTACCGCTATGGAGACATATCTGTTTTTTTTTTTTCTTTGTTTGTCTTCAGCCAGTACCGAACATGCAAACAAGAATTGGTTTTAGGCCTTGTCACTTTGGTAGAGAGATTTTTCCAGATTTTCAGGATCATTCAATGAGATGGTGTACTGAAATCAACAAGTTCTTGGCAGTTATACGCTGAGGAACAATATTCTGAAATTAATGGTTCTTCATGCAGTCTTTCCCAGACTGGTGAATATCTTTGCAACGTGACTTCAGAGAGATTCATCCTCCTTGAAATGCATTTTTCAAATCCAGTCATGTCACCGACCAGAGTTTTGAGTTTTTCTGAATTGGCAGATATTTCAACAGTACACTTTTTTTCTTATGTTTTGTTCTCCCCGTCGAGGCTGTTTTGAAAATTGAGCATCTGTCTTTTAAAGTACAATAACATTTTTCCGTTTAAACAGATGGTTAATTGTTTTTGCACTAGTTTAAATTAAAACTAAGTTTTTATCAACATTCTCAACTAGTTGAAAATTTACGACAACTTGACAACCCATTGCATCAAATCTTACATGGCACTTTTTCAGTAAGTTGGAGTTGAAAGAACCGTCTCTTCTTTGGTAGCTCAGCCAAAAGAGCTGGCTCTCCCATTACTACTACAAACTAACCGTATGTTTGTTTGCTCCTGTTAGGAACCATTGAGATTGCACCGGTTGGTTGTAAACAACATGTACGAGATTTAACGACCCATTTTTTATTAGACAAGACTTAAGACTCACAATAATATTAAGTTGGTTTGATTTTATCTTTATGCCAAGATGAGCTAAAGACTGCCTTAAATCAGCCCTGAAAGGGTTACCAAAGTACTAAGATCATGGAGACATACCCCAAGTTTATCAAAAGTCTCTCACTTTAGAAATGTGTCTTTGAGTTAAAAAAATGCACGAGAAGTTGTGGAATGTAAGCCAAGCACAACAGGAAAAAACTATTAAATGAGTATTTATTTTAATGTGTGGGATTTCTCACATTTTCAACACCTCACAGGGTTTTAAAATATCCAAAGTGGGCCGACTTTTAGACAGGGATATCCTGGTTTGAAGAGATGAGTATGGGTTTAACTTTTTTTAAACCCTGGATCCTTACTTTCCCTTGACACCCAATTGTCTTTATTAAATCCTTACTACCCCATACATTCTTCAAAGTTTACAGCAATTCTTGGGATGATTTCATTTTTGTGCTTTATCAAGGAAGTACACTAGTCATACTACTAGCCACCAAACATCTTTTAAGCTTTGCCTAATTTCTTTAGCAAAGAGACTAAACACAAAGAGACAAAACACAACTCACCATCTCTCTTCTATCAGCTGCTTGTTTGATGCGGGCCATCGACTGCAGTGGGGGGACGCAGCTCAAGGAAGAACATTTATGATCATTTCTTCATGGCAATGCAATCAGACAGAGACGGTGGGGCAGAGGACCTACTGCGTCTGCACTGTAAAATGATTTTTATGATGATTATTACTTCAAGGAAATGATAAAGTAATGATCATAAATGTTCCTCCTTGAGCTGCATCACCCCGCTGCAGTCGATGGCCTGGAGGTCTCTGCATAAACAAGTGGCTGCTGGAAGAGAGTAGGTGAGTTGCGTTTAGTCTCTTTGCTAAAGAAATCAGGCAAAGCTAAAAAGATGTTTGGTGGCTAGTGCTATGGCTGGGACCCTATATGTACTGTTGATGAAGTTAGGTGCTGTTCTGAGCATTATTTGTGGCTACAGAGTGGCGTTTTGGTTGAGCTCACTGAGCGCGT